TTTGGTCGACATTCTCTGAAAACCTAAGATGCATCTACTGACAAAGTTTGATGATTCTAAGCCAGTCAGTACCTGAGATATTCAAAAGTGGGTCACCGTGACCTACTTTTTGGTCAACATGCTCCGAAAATGTAAGATGCATCAAATGACAAAATTTGATGATTCTAAACCAATTAGTACCTGAGATACATGAAACTAGCCATAAAATGTCAAAAATAGGTCACTGTGACCTACTTTTTGGTCGACATGCTCCGAAAACCCAAGATGCATCGAATGACAAAGTTTGATGATTCTAAGCCAATAATTACCTGAGATACTAAAATATAGCCATAAAATGTCAAAAGTAGGTCACTGTGACCATAAAATGCATCAACTGACAAAGTAGGTCACAGTGATCTACTTAAAATTTAGGTCACAGTGATCTACTTTTTAGTCGACATTTTCTCAAGACCAAAGATGCATCAACTGACAAAATTTGATGGTCATAGGTCTAATAGTATTCAAAATATGCCTTTTAAACAATATAAAAATAAATGCCTGCAAAGTTCAAAAAGTAGGTCATAGTGACCTACTTTTTGATAAATATGTTTTAAGGCCTCTAGATGCATCAACTTACCTCTCGGTGTCTGAAATAATGGGATTAAATGTTTTAGAAAAGATTAGCCATCAATTCAAAAAGTAGGTCATGATGACCCACTTTTAAGTTGATGTTGTTTGTGGACCCAAGATGCACCAACTGACAAAGTTTTATGATCATAGGCCTTAAAGTGTTCAAAATATGCCTCTAAATCAATTTGAAAAAAAAAGCCCGTAAAATTTAAAAAGTAGGTCACCGTGACCTACTTTTGTATTAGCATGATGTCAAGTCCTGAGATGCATCAACTTACAAGATTTGATGATCCTAGTCTTTATAGTAAGCAAAATATCAACGTTTTTAATAAGTGTAAATTTTGGTCAACTTTGAAGTGACCTTGAGACCACGCCCTTTGCCCCAGGGTCATGCCTTGAACAATTTTTAATCTTCAACATATCCTGACTCTTGTATGTAAGTTTGGTGAAAATCTGCCTGGTGGTTCTGGAGAAGAAGATTTTTTAGCAACCAGTACTTTTGGTTTTATTTTCGTGATTATCTCCCCTTGTTTTAGGGTCCCACCCCTAATTTTAGTATAAATGGTAGCCCTTGGGCCAAGGATACCCTGTGACAAATTTGACAATAATTGGCCAAGGGGTTCTTGAGTTATGGCCCATATTCTAAAAAGTTAACGCACACAGCACGACGCACACCGCACAAATGGCCATAGCATTAGCTCTTTGAGCCTTTGGCTCAGAAGAGCTAAAAAGCACATGGCAAAGGAACGTGTGAACATCTAAAAATAACATCAGTAATGGCGACCTACATGGAGACGATAAACATGCAGCTCATATTAATTTTAACTTGCTTTATAATAACATTTTAGCATCAAAAGATCATGAAAGTGACATTTTTAACAAGAGACTGAAGGGCCTTAAATCACACTTCTGATAAATTGTACAATCTATCACTTCTATTTGAAGCCTCTAACTCTAAGTATCCTAAGATGCATGAACTGACAAATTTTGATGATTCTTAGCCAGTTAGGACTGAAGATATTTCAGTTAAACTATAAAATACGATGAGTAGGTCACAGTGACCTACTTTTTGATTTGAAGACTCAAGAATCATTAATTGACAATGATTGACACTAAGCCAATAAGTATCTGAGATATTCAAAAGTAGGTCACAGTGACCTTTTTTATAGTCAACATTCTCCAAAAACCTAAGATGCATCAACTGACAAAGTTTGATGATTCTAAGCCATTAAGTACCCCTTATACTTAAATAAAGCCATAAAATGTCACAAAAAGTTCATCGTGACCTACTTTTCAGACAATTAACATTCTCAAAAAACCTAAGATGCAGCAACTGACAAAGTTTGATTATTCTTAGAATTAACATTCTCAAAAAACCTAAGATGCAGCAACTGACAACATAGTATCAGTGAATAGAAATTACTGTTGTGTACTTCCATAGGGAAAGTACATGTAAATAACATGTTAAATTAAATTATCCTGACCATTTAAAATGTTAAAAATACTTGAAATAATTAAAGATTGAGTTATATTCTGTAAATTTCTATATTTTAGAATTTAGATTTAAGGGCAGAACACTCTAATTGCAGAAAAATACCATAGAATCAGAACTCTTTAGTGTGCCTTGTAGAGAGGGTTCTCAAGTCTACACTACCTGAGCATAATTCCACATGTTTCATCTTTCCTGGCCCAGTGATTTTTGAGAAGACTTTTAAAGATTTTTCCTATATATTCCTAGTAAAACTTTGATCGGCCATTGTGGCCCCACCCTACCCCCGGGGGTCATGATTTGAATAAACTTGAATCTACACTACCTCAGGATGATTCCACATGAGTATCATCTTTCCTGGCCTATTGGTTCTTGATAATAAGATTTTTTTAAAAATGCCATTACTTTTTCACTAATTCATAATTATCTCCCCTTGGAAGAGGGTCTGGCCCTTCATTTGAATAAACTTGAATCCCTTTTACCCAAACATACTTTGTAGCAAGTTTGGTTGAAATTGGCCCGGTGGTTCTTGAGAAGAAGATGAAAATGTGAAGAGTTTAAGACAACAACAACGACGACGACGACAGACAATGAACAAATTTTGATCAGAAAAGCTCACTTAAGCCTTCCGTACAGGTGAGCTAAGAATTTATACTGGTCACCAATATGTGCTTGTTCTTTGGATTGCTAAAGTGATCTGCACTGTCAAAAGGTGGGATGTGTGACTGAGCAACTAGTGTACACTTTATTGTCACTATTTATGCAAGCTCATACTTCAAAGTGGAATCTACTAATCTGTATCTGGGTGGAGAGTGTTGACAATTAACTAATTGGTATGTTTGTAATTATTCTGAAATTAAGAGATTTTAAGATTTTTTTTCAGATGAGGGACATACATATTTGTGTACTAAAAAACAGAAATAAAGTTTTGAAGCTCTAATTGTGTGACTTTGCTTAAAATATAATATGAAGATACATTTTTCATTGCAAATGTAGCAAAAACAAGAGGCCCATGGGCCACATCGCTCACCTGAGAAGCTTTGACCATTCCATTCTTTACCAGATTTCCCACTTGTTATACATATTGTGACAACATCCTACACCACTGATCATAATTTAGACAATTTGAAATCTACACTACCATAGGATGCTTTGATTCCCCATTGTAAAACTTTGATTCCCCATTGTGGCCCTGACCAACCACCGGGGGTAATGATTTTAACAATTTAGAATCTACACTACCCCAGGATGCTTCCACTTAAGTTTCTGCTTTTCTGGCCCAGTGGTTCTTGAGTAGAAGATTTTTCCCATATATTTCTATATTAGACTTTGATTCCCCATTGTGGCCCCGCCCTACCCCAAGGGGTCATGATCTTAACAATTTAGAATCTACACTACCCCAGGATGCTTCCACTTAAGTTTCAGCTTTTCTGGCCCAGTGGTTCTTGAGAAGAAGATTATTCCTATATGTTTCTATGAAAAACTTTGATTCCCCATTGTGGCCTCGCCCAACCCCCGGGGATCATGATTTCAACAATTTAGAATCTACACTATCCCAGGATGCTTCCACTTAAGTTTTAGCTTTTCTGGCTCAGTGGTTCTTGAGAACAAGATTTTCAAAGATTTTTCCCATGTATTTCTATGTAAAACTTTGATTCCCCATTGTGGCCCCGCCCAACCCCCAGGGGTCATGATTTTAACAATTTAGAATCTACACTATCCCAGGATGCTTCCACATAAGTTTCAGCTTTTCTGGCCCAGTGGTTCTTGAGAAGAAGATTTTCAAAGATTATTCCTATATATTTCTATGTAAAACTTTGATTCCCCATTGTGGCCCCGCCCAACCCCAGGGGTCATGATTTTAACAATTTAAAATCTACACTACCCCAGGATGCTTTCACAGAAGTTTCAGCTTTTCTGACCCAGTGGTTCTTGAGAAGAAGATTTTTTAATGACCCCACCCTATTTTTGTCTTTTCTTGATTATCTCCCCTTATGAAGGGAATTCATTTTAATAATTTAAATTCCCCTTCACCCAAGGATGCTTTGTACCAAGATTGGTCAAAATTGGCCCAGTGGTTCTTGAGAAGAAGTCGAAAATGTGAAAAGTTTACAGACGGACAGAACAGACGGACAGACAGACAGACAGACAGCTGGACAGAGGGACGGACAGACGGACAAACTGTGATCAGAAAAGCTCACTTGAGCCTTCGGCTCAGGTGAGCTAAAAAAAACATGATAATTTTCATAACTGTTTTTAATGTAATTTTCTACTCAGGTGTGTCCAATACCACGATTAATATACAACTACTTCGACTGGTCTAACAGTAGTAGTCATAGACAAATTTCACATTCCTAAGAGTTATCTCCCATTGTCGGCGTAACACTCATTTTTTCCACTTTGTCCTTTGTAAGTTAGTACCCATTTATATTTCTAATCTTCAAACGTTATCGGAAAATTTTGATCTATACCTGTATTGCCAGAGTTTGGGGCAACATGAAAAACATAATGAACATATTTATACAAAATTTATTAAGATACTGACCACTAAAGTTGGTAAAGTTATAGAGGGAAAACAGTGCTTTATGCCGGTTAACCCCGGATTGACCCCACAAGGGGAAAAACTTTTGTAAATGTGAACGTCGTCTATTATAGTCTAGAACATTTATCATTCCAGAACTTTAAAATGTGACCATACACGTGAGAATAATTATATTTTACACACTGAGCTTGCCACACAATTAGTGTAAATTTCCCCCACATCTAAATAACCATTTTTACAGTAATTTAAAACCTATCATAAAAACTTTCTTTTTTACATCTTTTTAAGCAAAGGTGTTTTAGTCCCTTCATAAAAATTGCCTGGCCAGTAATACAGGTATGCTAAGTTATTCTAACTTACCTGATATACTTGCTTTCAGTGCATCTGCTTGTCTGTAAAATAGATTTAAATTGATTAAATACTTCTTCAAATACACCATAATCACATGCACAGTCTAAACAATCTCCAAGTTAAATTGCATGCAATAAATAAACATAATAATTAAAACACTTTTTATTTGATTAAAATTCATGTGGTCAGAATGAAACCACTCTGGTCGATCCATGTATCATTTGTTTTCTATATTTCATAACAAAAGCTCTAAAAGGCTTGCGACTAATAAAAAAAGAACATTGCAAGAAACACCCCCCCCCCCCCTTTACATCATATAATCGTTTAAATAGAGCACAATAAATACACACATAAGGAAAAAGATATTTGCTTACATTTCATCTTAATTTTTGTGTTACTTCTTAGTTTGTAGTTATAGCATTCAAGAAAGCGGGTTGAAAAAGTAATCAGAGCATAACCACCCACATTCTGTTTAACTATGAAAACAAGAGACCCAAGGGTTTTCAATCATTCTTCTGATTAATTGTACAATCTATCACTTCTATTCGAAGCAGGGTTGGGGTAATTGAAAAAAGTAATTGTAACTGACTGTAATTAATTATATTTTTTGAAGTAATTTGTAATTGAACATTTTTTCCATTACTTGTAATTGTAATTTAATTAATTACACAAAAAATACCATGTAATTTCAATTACTTTTTTAAATACTTTACATAATACACAAGAATTCATGATATATTGTCACCAATACCTCCCCATTTTTCTGTCTTTTACTTTATTGCAAAACATATCCTCAATCCTTCAATTATTAGTCTAATCTAATAATTAGACTAATAATTGAAGGAAAGAGGATATGATAGACTAATTTATTACATTATGCAATATACAGAAGAAGAAAAAATACCCGCTCTTCTTCTTCTTGTTGACTTTGAAAAGGCATTTGATTCTGTCTCTTGGGTTTTTATTAAAAAATCACTTAATTTCTTTAATTTTGGAAAGTCTATAAGGAAATGGGTTAGTTTATGTTATTCAAATATTACATAAGCAGTAAATCAGGGAGGAAATTCATTAGAAACATTCTCTTTGCATAGAGAATGTCGCAAACGAGACCCAATATCTCCTTACTTATTCTTGATATGTGCTAAAATCCTTGCTATTAAGATAAAAAAACCAGAAGCATTGGCGTCGGAAGCTATTTGAAAGTGGGGGGGGGGCTAAGTGTAAAAAAAAATTTTGTACCTTCGAAAAAACCTGACAAGCAAAAAAAAAAAAAAAAAAAAAAAGGAAAATGTCTACTTCTCAAACATGAAAATCCTATTTCGTGGGGGGGGGGGGGGGGGGGGGGGATCGAACTCCAGTACCAAAAATTTTCTTCCAAACACCACCACCACTTTCCCCATCTTTAACCTATACTAAGACGTATCTGTGGAAAGTGGGGGGGGGGGCTAAACCTACCAAGATATGTTCAATGTCTATACTAAGTGTATATTTGGGAAAAAAGTGGGGGGGCTAAGCCCCCCCTAGCCCCCCGGTTCCGACGCCTATGAGAAGTCTCTATCGAGACTGTAGCTCTACTGGTTTGTACTTATAACAAAGGACGAGAAAAGTAGCAATTTGGACTTGAAACTTTACAACAGCAAAAAATATAAAAATAATCCTTAATTACCACGTAAGTCTTTTTTGGGGGGGGGCAACTTGTGTGCCAAATTAAATTGAAATCAGACCAAATCTGTTGGAGATGTAGCATTTTGAAAGCATATCACAGAAATTTCCATTTTTAGTAACCATGGCAACACCATTCATTGAAATCCAATACCGATGCACTAAATTATATATCTTAGTGTGGTCAACTTGTGTGCCAAGTTATACTGAAATCAGACCAAAACTGTAAGACAAGTAGTGTTTTTAAAGGAATTTCAAACTAATTTCTATTTTTAGTTACCAACAAAATCAAAAAACAATGGACTAAATTATGTATCTTAATGTAGTCTACTTTTATAGGAAGTTACACTGAAATCAGACCAAAACTGTACGAGGAGTAGCGTTTTAAAGGAATTTCACAAAAATTTCCATTTTTAGTAACCATGGCAATACCGCTCATTGAATCAAAAACTGATACACTAAATTATGTATCTTAGTGTAGTCTACTTGTGTGCCAAGCTATATTGAAATCAGATCACAGCTGTAGTAATGTTTTAGAGAAATTTCAGAAAAATGAAGAGGACTGCATTTTTTTCTATAATTGGTTGTACATGTAGGATTCTCTAATGATGGCTTAAGGACGTTCGATCCTGAGCTTTTGAGCAGATTTTGGTCCTGTCCTATATTTATAAAATTCTTTATCATTTTTAAGTTCTAACGTTAAATCTGAATTCTACAATGCAAATTGAACTATATTCAATGAAAAAACCGCGATTAAATTCCATTCAAGTAGACTTAAGCTAGGAACTATATTTTGAGGCGGAAGGTTTTTTAGAAGAAAATGATCAGTTTTTCCCTTTTGAACTGTAACAGTACTGTTAATGTCAGATTCCTATTTTTCTATGCTGGTTGCACACAAAGCTGTTTTTTGCAGTGAAATGTGTTATGCTGGTTTTGAAATATCTATAAAATTATTTCTTATGAATTCTTTCAACGAAGTGTGACAAATATAGTAAAAACATTCTGAAAATCTGGGGGAAAATTGAGCCAAATTTAACGTAAAATTGACACTTTTTAGTAATATTTAAAAAATTACATCATATACCCCCAATTTTGGTGTTCTTTTCTGAATATTTAAGATAACTTTGACCTATCTGCTTAAATTCAGCAAAAGTTTAAGACTTTAAAATAATTTTCTTGCTTATTAAATTTTCAATGCCAGAAAAATCACCTTTCAAGAGTGCAAAAAGGTCAAATAATAAATTATGCATAGCAATTTGAAACTTTTTCTTAGTCACAATTTTAAAGTGTCTTTTTTTAAACAGGTTTATAGTTTATTTTGTTCCATGCTTTAATTCAATAAAAATATTGAAGGGAAAACGTCGAAGATGTCATTTTTTATTAAGACACAAATTTCAGTGCAAAAAGGTCATATTAAATGTACTGTAGCGCCAAAAGAAGCATATTGACCCCCATTTTTGGATTTGATTTTTAACTAAGCTATGTGTGTAGAAACTAAAAATATACTTGAGAAAAAAAGTTTAAGACTTTAAATATCAGGATCCAACGTCGTTAAGTTACACAGTGTACTGGAGGTTGGTTGATAGAACATAGAACTAGGTTAGTCAATTAAGTTACTCAGTTCGGAAACTCATATCTGTCAGGTCCAGTACAATCAATAGATTTAGCTATGTAGTAGAATTACCTACGTAGCTTTATTTACCTACCCCAGGTAGCTTTATTTAGCTATTTCAATGCAACTTTTCAAAATCTTTCTTTTTATTTAATAGAGACAAAAAAACACAATTCAAAGACTATTAATATTTATACTAGGGAGGTTTTAAAAAACAAGAGGCCCACGGGCCTTATAGGTCACCTGAGCATTATGCAACAACTTTCCAGTTATTATGTTCCCCAAACGAAGTTGGGGAACATATTGTTTTTACTCTGTTTCTTATTATTATTATTAAGGTCTTCCGTCTTAACGGAAGACCTTATAGCAATTCTATTGTTTCTTATTATTATTAAGGTCTTCTGTCTTAACGGAAGACCTTATAGCAATTCTATTGTTTCTTATTATTATTATTATTATTTTTCTGACGCAATTTCTCACAGACTACTGGATGGAATTACATGAAATTTTCAGGACAGATGTTTTGTTAAATGAATTTGATACATCTGAGAGATTTTTTGGAAATTCGCTTCCGGTGCCAAGTTACAGACCTTTTTCTGATTTCTTTTGTCCACAGATTTTCTAAAGAACGCTAAAAGATATCATTGTGAAACTTTCAGATATTATAGATGATGAAAAATACTATCCAGGACGCGACTTTTCGTTTGTCGTCATTACTTCCGCTCGCTACCGGAAGCTAATTTAAAAAGTCTAATTTTTAAAATTTTTTTGTTTTTCAATATTTTTCGTTTATTTTTTGTATGTTTATAGAAACCTTTCTTATAATGCTTGCTATATAATTTGTTTGAATATTGATAAATCTAAACTCTAGATATTAGCATTTAAAAATTTGAAGCGTTTCAAAATGGCCGCTCTCTCTGTCAACTCCGACATTTCGCAATAGGGGTTTACTGAGGCAGTCGAGCATTTGCTTGAAAGAAAGTAATAAGGACAAATGAAATATAAAGGAATACTTGGATTTTCACGTTGTAGTTACGTTACAATTCTGTGTCAAACTAAATTCTTCTTAAACGTCTTCTATAATTGGTTTTGGTTGATTCTCAAAGTAAAAAAAGAAAAGACTAAATGTGCAAATGAAATTCGATACCAAATATCTTCTGATTGCACCACGGAAAAGCAGCTCATTAATCATTGATATAAGTAATAGTTATTTAAGAAGGATATCAATGAATACAGTAAGTATAAAATTTACCCACGGTTTTTCCCATGCACATTTGTACCATATTATACTAATAAAAAAGACAAAATAAGATAACCATATTTTTTTTAAGATCGCTTAATAGAGTTTATATTAACATTATTGTCTCAAAGATCTTATTCAAGTTATTGAGCACAAACGATATCCAATTCCTTGACCGTCGTAAGGCGAGCCATTTTTTTTTTTTGCGAAACATTTCAATCTCTTCATGAATGTTTTTAACTAATCGGGATAGTTCACTTTAGCGAGTTCACTTTAACATGAAATTTTAAAAAAGTTAAAATTCATAGCCGTTTCACTGTTTTAGTGTTACTTCCTTGCATACTATATGGAGTTTGTGAAATGTATAAAATATACTTTCTAATCATCAAGTTTTAGGCTAAATGAACGTTTTTTTATTTCATTAAAGCTATCACACCTATTAAAGAGAACATTCCAAAGAAAAGGCGCGAAGATTAACTCGTGGCATTTGGCGCGAATTTATGAATAGTGACTAGCTTTTATAATTC